AGCGCTCGGTTTGGTTGTTATGACACTAACATGTCTTGGAGGTAGGAGGAGCCATGCCATTTATGGCTTTGTATGTTAGAAGAGGAATTTTTTATTTAATTCAACAGGAAGCCAGTGGAGTTATTCTAACACTGGAGTTATGTGCTCCCTCGTTTTGGTGCCTGTTAAGATCCTTGCTTCTGTATTTTGAACAAGCTGAAAGCTCTTTAATGAGGATTTAGGGCACGCTGCCAGGAAAGCGTTACAGTAGTCAAGACCTGCTTTTGTCAGTGTTCCCCAAGGCAGCAATGCCTGCAGTATGTAAAGCGTTTTTATGTTTCTCAAAAAGCACTTCAAAATTGATGCATTATTACTAATATAGATGTGACTGAGGAAAGAAAAATATGTAAAAATCCAACCATTTTGAAGATCCAGGAACGAACCATATGGATTTCTTCACATAGCTCAAATAATAGTGGTTTGAAAGTCAGGTACCCCGGCTTTAACTTGCCCTTGCCTCCTCTCCCTCCCGTCTCACGTGCTGGCGCAGGAGAACAGATGCTGGTGGTGGTGCAGCTCTCCGGAGGGGCGGACAGCGGCATATTGCTTTATAATTAATGAAATTAGGGGGCGCTGTCTGATGCAAACAGCAGCAAGTGCCAGAGGAAGAACAACCCGAGAGGACAAGACCAGAAAAAAACACTAATATCAAAGCTTTCTCCAAAAATGCACTTCTCTTTACATTTTGGTTGTTTTACGACATTGAAAGAACTAAGTGAGCTTAGTCCAAAAACCTGACTTGCACTTTGTCTGGACTGGAGAAAGCCTGATAGTCCATAATTTTTTGGCAATAACCTTCCACAGTATGGCAATAAAAGCTTCAACATTTCAAACGATCTGAAATTGTTGTTATTCCATTAGTCATGTTCATCTACGAGACAATTTATCATTATGAATATTCTATGTGTAACGCTTGGAAGTGTTGTAGAATGCAGGTGAGCTTCAATAACAAAGCCAGACAGTCAGTGTGGGTCCAACAACCCTATGGCAGCTTTTGTTTACAATACATAAATAATCTATTAAAAAAAAACAAAAAAACACCCCAGTTGTCAATACAGTAATTTTACACAAACTAAAATATGCAAAAATCTAAATCTAAAGTAAACGACAACCAGCACTATAAAGAAAACCCAGTGCAATTAATAAAATTAGTAATAAAATTGTAAATTTAAAGACTTGGTCATGTGACAAGACTACACCCATGACCACACCTTCACCTGCCGCATATATATTTTTCACCATCAAATGTTTGAATTGATTTCTGTGGGTTGCTGGCAGAAAAAGGCTGGGAACCACAGGATGTAGGCCACCTCGGTTCAGTTTAGTTTAAAGCAGGTTGTTCTGTACCAAAGCTACGTTAGTGCCATATGGAATTTTGTGACACAATCCAAAGCCAATGTCAGTATACTGTAGATAAATGAAGTTGTATGAGTTGACACTATGAGTGGCTTAAAGTGGCTTTTTTGTGTTAGCATGAGAGGGCCACAGTAAAAACGGAACCAAAACAAAGTAGGGACATATTTTTTTTAGAAGAAGGTGAAGGAGAAAAGGGGGAATCCGGAAATCAAAATGTTTTACGTTTTATTTAGTGTTTCAGATTTATGCAGCTAAAAATATGGAACAGTCTTCTTGAAAATGTGAGATGGTATTTTTATGCTATACAAATAAACTTGCCTACCTAGGGTTCTAGCTCAAGGATCATAGTTAAAAGTTAGGTATCCAAGCTTTCACATTGACAGCCCAATAACTAGCTCCAACTCTTTAGTATTTCACATTTTTATTATTATTTTACAAGAATATTACTTTTTCTATTGATTCCTATTTTCTATTAAGCCAGAGCAGCTTTGATACAACCTTTTTAGACCTGTACATGGGTCCTTGAGTATCTAAATCATCTACACAGACATGATCAAGGGTAAAAATCTCTCTTCAATTCAATTTAACATTAAAGGTTAAAAGTCCCACTGCTTTGGTTCAACTAACGTGTTTACAGCATGAGGATAATGCTCTTACTGCTGCTCTTACTGCTGCTCTTACTGCTGCCCTGCTGTTTTCTACCAACACCGATATGTCTCTGCAAAAAAATAGAGGTCTTGCCCAAGGACACAATGGCATCATGTTAAAGGAGAGGTATTATAGATCTGTGAGCACCAATAAAACCAATGTATAAGTGATTTCAGGCTGTCGATTGTTCTTTAAGACTGTCGTGTTGTTTGGACTCGTGTCAGCTTTGTACGTAGGAAGGTGTCAAATTAAAAAAAGGGTCCCCAATTTGTTTCTTTTATTTACATTTTGTTGTATTATTTTTATTACTATTATTATTTGCTCTCTTCATTTCCTTGTTTTACATTTTCTTGCATGTTCTCTCTTTGAATAAAAAAATAAAACTATCATGAAAATATCACAGTCATAACGAAGAAAATATAATGTGTCAAAAGTAATGCTGATGTTGGAATGTGCTGTGTGTTATTTGCAGACGCGTTTCTAAAGCATTAATGTTGTAGAGCTGCTTTAATGACATGTTTGTGTTGGGGGTCCGTGTGATGTGGTCTCTGCCGTCTGCTCCAGTCCTCACAAGTCTCTCATGAGGATGGAGGCTTTCATGGTCCGAGCAAAGACCAGGGTTTCATTCCCATGTCTATGTCCCCTCAACTGAAATAGATCAATCCCATCAGAGGCGGACGCAGCCATTTTGGGGCCCAAGGTCAACAATTGTAGTGGTCATAAAAACAATTGTATATGAGTTTTTTCACAGACCAGAGTGAGTGAAAGTGCTTTCCAAACTTACAATAAAACAGTATCAATACAAGTCATATTATACAGATGACAGAGAGATAAGGGATGTGTCACAGATTCATAAACAATATTTTTTCGTTTATTAAACTTTATTTAACCAGGAAAGTCCCTCTGAGATTTTAAAATCTCTCCCCATAACACCCTCCTGTCCTCTCTGAGGACAGGAGGGTGTTGTACTATTGTACATAAAGGTGAAATTGAACCCAGTATCTTCTTGCTGTGAAGAATGAATGCTAACCACTGCCCCACTGTGCTATAAAAATGTTACTCTAATGGAGATCTTACCAGTCTGGGATGTATAAATGGAGACCGGCAAAAGGAGCTGGTAAAGCTAAAGAAATGTTCTAGTAGAACAAGTTATTTTTACGACATTGTAGTGTTACTCAACAAATTATTTCAAATGTTAAATTGTATCTATTTAACAAAGTCCATATCCTAGTTTCTTGCTCTCAAAACAGTTTGCTTCTATCACTACTTGACACAAGTGTTCAAAACTGAAAAAGAGAAGGCTCTTCCTGTGTATTCAAAACATGTTCACATTGCACATAGAACTGATGAGCAACAATAAGTGATTTCATTCAATTCAATTTATTTGTGTATAGTCCCAAATCACAACAACAGTCGACAGGAAACGCAATAACAACAAACCCATGGAGCCTTGGTCGTTAGGGAGTGGGATGACCACTGTTCAGAAATGTTAAAGGAGCAATATGTAATATTTGCATGTCAAGTCATCATTAAATGACCCGAATATTTCAAAAGGCGTTATTAAATCATACTCTTTTCGAATTCATCTTTAACTGATAACAGTAGTTCAGCCGAGATATTTGATCATCAAAATTAGTTTTACGACCCGTAAAAGTTGTTATTGTTTTGATTTTGATGTCCTACCCTCCGCCGTTTCGCCAATCAGGAAGTGTCATGTAAGTCCGTAATCTGGTTGCCAGAACTCCGCGCGGCTCATTCATCTCACTGGTAAAATAACATGTGGCGCAGAACTAAAAAAGGTCTTGTTATGACTCTCAAATAATTAATGACAAAACAAAGACTAAAACGAGGATTTATATCGGGATGCCTTTGAACAATTGAGACAGCTGATAAAAGTTTACGTGTGATGCAGAATTTTCTAGTTTGAGTCCGTTCTTCACGGTGACTCTGTTCATGTGAATCGGTGGCCTAGCGGTCCAAGCTGCCCGCTTACGATGCAGGAACCCGGGTTCGATCCCGGCCTATGTCTTTTTGTATTTATTGCATGTTATCACATTCTATGACAGATTGCTCTAAAAACGGTAAAAGATGAAGGTCAAGACGTTTTTTTGCAGATTATAGCTTAATTGTAAAAATAATCATTTAAGACCACATGTACCCCATTAAAATAATGTTAGTCTCTTTTTGATGTGGGACTTATACATGTTTGTCTAAAAAATAGGGAATAAATAAAATTGAAAGGTGATATCCTCTTGAGCAAACCCTGATGTTGATACGCTGAAGAAATACGTTCCAACATCCATTCTTCCCACTCCTATTTTGGACATCAATTTCTTATTTATTTTGCATAAACTATGTATAATTACATTGCTTTTATTTTGTTTTTGTTTTTTATCTCAAATGTCCAAATTATAATAATAAAAAAACATGAATCAAAACATTCATTCAGCATTAGCACGGCTGTCATGGCATGTGAATGGAGACGGACAAACAACTGATAAAATAATTCCCTGTGTTTGCTGCTGGATTTGGTGTGAATCTGGCAACCTGAGTCAGGGAGAGTGGGAGAGGACTACAAAATATTGACTGTGACTGCAGTACCACTTTTGGCCAGATTTTTACATATTGCTCCTTTAATAAATATCCTGCATCATCACTGTCCTTCGAGCCTCCTGCTTCTGCAAGAAACAACAACAAAACATGGGGCAGACAGGCAGAAGAATGCAGCATTCTGTTGCATAGGGATTTGATTAGCAAAGTTAGCAAACAGCTGATAGCCGCATTTCTTTTTTACAGTTGACCCTGTGGAAAAACAGCATACATAAAACAGCTTCTCATGACGTAACTCCTCTTTTGAAGGCCCTCGTGTGAAGTCCAAATGTGTCTAATCGTCCACAGCTCTGGTATTAGCTCATCAGTGCGTGTGTGTCCGGTCCAGTGGCTCTCACAGCTGTCTATTAGGGCCCTGTACGGGACAGGGAGGGGGCGCAGGTGCAGGTATGGGCCATGGTGCTTTTGGGGCGAGGCTGGCTGTCTCTGCGGGCCCCCAACACACACCTGTGATCGTGGGCTGATATGACACACTCTGATTAACAGGCTAATACTGAGGACAGTGCGGTCCAGTGGACTCAGAGGGGGAAGGGAGATAGTAGTTTTAGTACAAGGTGAACTGGAATGACAAATTAAAACATGTGAAACAGTCACTGAATGTAGAGGAACATTGTACAAAACCACAACACCAGGACAAGGGAAACTGAAGTAGAAAGGCTAAAAAGTAAAATCCGACCACAACATTCTATCTTAATCTCATTAGAAAACAGTTTTGAGATTGAGGAACTAATTACACTGTTCCAATTAAACAGCTCCATTGTAGTTTGAAATTTAGGACTAGACGTTTTCACTTTATATGTGGGTACTGGTTAAACGTCTGTACTTTAAATGAAATTGATTATAGTGCACTGTTAACCCTGCATTCACACACATGCACTACTGCTACTACTATCTCCCATACCTTGCCTCCCTCAATATGAAAGACTACTCATAATAATACCCTAACATAAAACTGTATTCCAAAGTCATTACATGTAATCCAAAAGTTGATTATATTACTAATAAAATACAAGGAGATCCATAGAATCTCGTTAAATATTCAAAAAAGCACCCCCTGCAAATTGTGTCAAAAATAGTCCCCGTGCAGACACATGTATTTCAGTGGCTCATTCGGGCTCAAACCTAACAATTTGACTCAAATTAAACTGGGTCGACGCCTCCACAGAGCACTTAGTAGCAGACATAAACAACTAAGCATAAATACACGGCTGATTAGAAGGAGCAGGGAAGAATGGGCAATAATTCTCATGATTTACTGAGTGGCGAGATGAAGGTCTGTCGGCTTTGAAGTCCAGGGAGAGTGCATCGTCTGTCGGGAACACAGCAATGTTTTTAAGGAGAAAAAACAAGTATAAAGGAAATGTAGGTTTTGAGAGAAAGTGATAATTTCAACATGAATGTGGTTTCAAAGTTAGGCACGAGAACGAGACATTTTACTTTGTTTTTTGTATATGGAAACAATTATTATGAATAATATTGAGTTGCGCTGTTAACCCCACACACACACACACACACACTCACACACACACTTTCCCATAGAAATGTATTGGCGTCTTCTGAAATACTATTCTAGAGCATGAACAAGAAAGTCGAACATTTTACATACTTCACTTTTTGATCTACAAAAGTATCAAAGGCACTGCACAGGAACCATGGATCACTTTCAATCTCTTTACTTTGAAAATCATGGCACATACAATTTAAAAGAGCATTAAAAAAAAAAACAGTTTTTCACACTGTTATAAATATACAAAGTCCATATGAACAGTTCATTTGCAAAAAACAAATTTCCTTCTCTTGAAAATGTGTCAAAAAGTTGTATTCCTCGAGCTACAATCTTCAACATGTTTTGTTATTGGCAGTAAATTTGAAAGGATTTGGGGTGAAACTTGATTTGTATGGCACTGAAATAAACCTGGCTTATTCACAAAACTACTCTAGACTTACAAATTGTATGTCTTTCTAATACTTTTCTTATGACTTTTATCTCTCTTTGCAAATTTACAATTCAAAATACCACATTATTCTTACTTTTAATATTCAAAACGCTCATACATCCGCAATTTCACAAGAATCCCATGTGTTTCTCTCATCATTTTCAGAATTTTTTGTTGTGTTTTGTGTAGGACTATCACAGCTGCTGTTCGGTGAATCCATTAAAACAATATCGTCTTGCTCCAAATCCTTTTCCACGTCTTGGAATCCCAGTTTGGGCGACTCCTCCATTGAAATAGTCTCTTTTTCATTTGCGTTTTCAACCAAAGCCTCGTCTGTGTCTTCGGTGGGACTTTGTGGCTTGGTTTGGTTGTAATGCCTGATGTTATAGCGTTGGTTTTGGAAGAATTTGACCACAGTGTGTTTGGGGAGGTCCAGCTGCGCGGACAGAGTATGGATGGCTTCCTGGTCCGGGTAGAGGCCGACGTCGCCGATGAAACTCTGGAGAATCCCCAGGGCTTCTACAGAAATGCGATTTCGGGATCGCTGCAATTTCTGCGAGGAATCTTCGCAGGTGGGAGCGGAGGGGAGATATGGGGGAGGAGGGAGATCCGTGGAGGGCGAGGCAGAGGTCGACAAAAGGGGAGGGGGTCTGTGAAGCAACTGCGGGAAAGACAGGAGAGTAAAAAGGTTGATATTTGTCATGGTATAACCACAAAACTTTGCACTGCCAATGTCACTTTTTGAAATTGTACATAAATATTTTTTACCTATATATTTCTTGCTCTAGAATATACAGCATTACAGCTTCTTTATTACGCTAAAACAGGCTACAGTGACAACTGACATCATACCCGATAAAAACGTTTTGTGATGTGGTTGAATGGAAACTGTTGCTATTACAACTGTAAACACACTCCCAAGAAAGATACGCATTCAAACAAGATTCACCAAATTGTCTGTCAGTTGTCATGGTAACAGTTGGTTGTTGGTGATAGTTCCCATAGTCATGTTACCAGGGTTGCCACATTGATGAGTTCCAGGGTAACAGTTGCCATGGTGACTTTTGCCATAGCAACAGTTGGCATGGTGACTATTGTCATAGCAACGGTTGCCATGGTAAAAAAATGCTTTAAAACAAGATTCACCAGGGTAACAGTTGTCATAGTGGTTGCCATAGCAACGGTTGCCATTAAAACAAGATCCAACAGATTGTCTGGCAACTGTTATGGTAACAGTTGCCATGGTAACTGTTGTCATAGCAACTGTTGGCACGGTGATTGTTTTCTTGGCAATATTTACCATGGCAACTGTTACCATAACAGTTACCATAACAGTTGCCATATATTCTAACCGTTGTCCTGGTTATAGTGGTTTTCCTGGCTTGATTTATGTGCTATGTGCTCGCTACATTTTGTGAATCCCAATTTTTTTTTGTGTGTGACAAATTTACATATACTTGGGCCGTGAGGTCTAGGCCTGGAACTGGTCTGCCAGTTGAAGACCCCTGTGCTAAAGTTTGAGATTTTATATTGATCATAAAATACTTTATACTGAATTTGTTGGAGAGTTGGACATTTTAAACTTGCTTCTCTATTATGCTAAAGTTAGTTTTTAGAATAGAGTTATTTTTCACTTATCTTTAGCTGTGTGCCCCTCAACACAACACTGAAATGTACCCAATGTGTAACGACTAAAGGATCTCTTGCTGTGATGCACATAAAAAGAAAAAAGACATAATTTTAACGGTTTGCACATTTTCTGCCTTTGTGCACACCCTGAGTGATCTTATTGAAGTCAAACGTAACATACATTTCTCCAATGTGAGAACAAAAAAGTGGGGCTATACTGTATGAGACTGGACTGCATGCTACAATGTAGAATTGGCAACCGCAGAAGCTTCTCCTCCAATAATGTCCTATACTTTACTCTGTCATCATCTTCCCATTAACTCAGAAGAAAAGTAGGTCATATCACAACACTGTGGGCGACAGTGGCTCAGTTGGTAGAGCATTGGCCTTTGAGCCTGGAGGTCGTGGGATTCGAGCCCACCACAAGACCTACTTCCTGACTCCCACTGATGTGTGCTGTCGTTGTGTCCTTGGACAAGACACTTAACCCCACTTTGCCTGAAGCCCCCGCTGGAAGATCAAGGCTCCTGTGGACTCACCACCTGCAGGAGGATCAGTGAGGGGCTGGTGCTCTGTGAACTGGGTGCAGCTCTGACTGCCACCCCCCCGACCCAGAAATGGATTAAGGGGAAGAAAATGGATGGATGGATCATATCACAACTTGCTGTTTTCATCTTATTAGAAAATATGCTATATTTTACATACAAGCATTAGTCGCAATGTAATGCTTTGATCTGAGCACTGATTGGCTGTGTGAGGGTGGTCCCCTCAAGAACGCATGTGAAAATTGGAACTAGAAGCAAACTGATTGGGGAGGAACTATACAAGGATTTTGTTACATAACACATTTTACTTGTGGTGTGAAAGTCAAGTACCCCATCTTTAATAGCTAACTAGGCCATTCTATTTAAGTCTTTGCCCACTGTAAACCTGCTGTCACTTTGCTTCTACCCAGGGACTACGGATGAATAGAACAAATAAAAAATGAATAAAACCTGGCTCAGGCTGTTGTCGAGATTGTAAATATAATATGTGCCAATCTGTGTTTACATCCCATTCATTTTGAGTTTATTAAGTAAATATAGTATATATTAGTATATATGTAATTTACTATTGTTTGTATACAGTACATGTTGAGATATAATGTGTAATTTTGAACAAACCTTTTGTCAACATATTCTAGCTGTTTCCCGCTCCCACTGAGGCCTCACAAATCAATGGTTTGAAAACAGATAAATGACCGGAGCTCTTTGCCGCTCCAATAATTAGAGGCTCGCACAGAATAATATTGAGGTTTTGGTTTCAGACGAGACGTTTGGGGCCAAGCAGGAAATGTGTAGGAAGTTATTTACAGCTTTAGTTTAGAGTTATGAGACTGGAGAAGTAGGTGCTGAGACATATGTCTATTTTTAAAGATATACAAATGTTGTTGTTTTTTCACAAGCTTTTAACTTTTTGAACTGGTTCTAGGCCAGGTTTCTCTGACATAAACACAGCCTGGTTGGTTTTTGACCTAAATCAACTAGTACTTTATAGTGTTTGTACTGTATCCAACATGACACAATGTTCCTCCATGAAGCTAGCTAATTTGCAACCAGCCTCTGCAATTGGATTTCAAAAGGTTTGTCTCTGAGCCAATGAGAAACATGTTCTATTTGTATTGTATTTCAACGTGCAATCAGACTTTCCGTCACCAAAACGTTCCTGATTGTACTTCCTGTTTAGGATCAGCTTCTGGGTTTGAACATGTTTTGTTCTGTCCACTCCTTCTGCAGTTTAATGCAGCTTTCATGCGATCTCGGAAACTCGGAGATACACAAACGCACACAAACACACGAGAAATGTGCAGAAATGTAACTTTTCTCCTTGCTCGTTGAACAGAAAGGCACTGTTCACTGTTGTAACATAAGACACACATGTTATATTTTATGTTCCTTACAATAAAACATGCATACACATAGACCATGTTATACGTTTCTCTAAATCCTTTTTTTATTTATTTTTTATAAAAGGATAAAAAAATCACATCCCATGCAGTTTGACTCTATTTTTTCATCCAATCCCAGTCTGACGCAACATCGGGAACTAGAGGAGTGAAAGTCAAAAATTCTGAGTTTCCAAGACCACATAAAAGGGGCTAAAGTCCAGAGACTAGAGAGACCACAGAGACCACTGAGACCACCGGGACCACAGAGACCACAGAGACCACTGACACCACAGGGACCACTGAGACCACAGAGACCACTGAGACCACAGAGACCACTGAGACCACAGAGACCACTGAGACCACAGAGACCAAAGAGACTACGGATTCAACAGAGACCTCAGAGTCTACAGAGATAATATATTTATACTTCAACATGTGGATATCAGTTAGACTTCTTTCTTAAATATATATCGCTCATTTACTTATCCCTTGTTTCAGTCGTCTTACTACTGTATTTCCTCATACCTGTGCTTCGTTGACGCTCCCGTAGCCTCCTCTCTCTCCATGCTGCTGCCGGCTCTCGTCCTCGTAGACCTGGTCCCTCTCGCTCTGAGACAGGGACAGAAACCTGCGGATCATGCTGAGGTTTTCCCACAGTGTCCGGTTCTCGGGAGACGGGCTTTCCTTCCAGCGCAGCAGCTCACACAGCCAGCCCTGACAACAGACGCAGAGACGCATTTCACTAACTATTCAGCAACTAGCTTTATAGAACAGAGCCCAAAGAGTCCACATGGGAAGAAAAGGGCTCCATAGTGCTCATCTCAGATTCCGATTCATTTTATTTGTAGTAAAACCACATTGGAATACATCTGCAAAAGTCTGCAGTGTGCACCAGACCAGGAACATGAATAAACAACATATCTGAACACTGAACAACATTAAACAAATATTTCCCCGGTTTCAAAATTGTTTTATTATTACCTGCTAAACCAACTTCACACAGCTTAACTTTCTTTATGTATTCTGTTCTGTTCTGTTGTTGACATAAAAGCAGAAAAACTCCTTGTCCCCAGAGATGACCCAGGACTATGTCTCTCAGCTGGCCAGGGAAACGTCTAAGGCACATGTGTCAAAGTCAAGGCCCGCGGGCCAAATCCGGCCCGCGAATGAATTATCTATGGTCCCCGGGACATTGCCTGCCATTGAGGCAATGTATTGACCCCTTAAGCTCGCTAGCCCCCCCCCCGGCGGGAGCAAACGAGGAAAAAAATACATCCGCTGGCAATAGCAGATGTATTTTGTACTTCATAAGCCACAAGCTATATATCATTTTAAAGCTTATTTTCTCAGCTATATTTATATGTAAGTGTAAACGATATCAGACATTGCATTAAAAAGATATAACGCATAATATGGGCACAAAATAAATCACGTCTGTATTTGTTTTTTACCTTTCGTCTTCTGCTGCTCCAACAAATTAGACTTTCCCCATCCTTGCTTAGTCTCTTTCTCTCCGTAACTGTTCATTGAAGAAGAATATCCACTTGTATTTCCCAAAGTATAATCCATTCTGCAGATTTAATAAAAAAAAAACCCCGAAAAGAGGTCCAGACAGCTCTTTTACATTTCACCAAGTTTGAGCTTTTTTTTTTTTTTACTATTTTCATGTTCTCAGATGTCTATTACATCTAATATGTACAGTATGAGGATTGGCTTTAGAGCATATTTTATCGAGCCAGCAGGTGTCACCGGCACTGCCTCTGGATGTTGAGAAACAGTGAACCAGTCCGGCCCTCGGCGCGTAGCAAACATTTTTTTTTGGCCCTCTGATGTATTTGACTTTGACATGCCTGGTCTAAGGATTCCCCCGATGAGCTGGAGGAAGTGTGTGTGTGGAGAGGGAAGTCCGGGCGTTCTCGCTCGTTGCTGCTCCGACGACGCAGCAACGGAAAAAGCGCAGGATAATGAATGCATGGATGTTTTTTTTCTCTCTTAAAGTCGGGATACACAACTTTCAAACCACTAAAATCAAATCCATGTAAGAAGCTCCTCGCTCTGATGAAGATAGCTTGTTGTCTGAAGATTTTACGTTTACAAGGCTATTTCTGTTAAAGGGACATGCCCCAGCTTTAACCTCTTCCTTTTCATTCTTGCTCAAGGTTAGCAAAGTGGGTGTTAAGAAGTGAAGACAGAGGCAGCAACGATCGTACCTGTAACTCTGTAGTCCAATCCCACGCCTCTTACCCACGCTTGTTTGTGATTCAGCCCAGTCCCATGTGTTTAATGTGGCTCAGTCTGTCATGTTTAGACTGATGAGACTCAGAGGGAGATAAATACACACCACACACCAAAACACAGCTCCTCTGGATTACGTTTCTTCAAAAATAGTGTATATATTCTACTACTACTACTTCTACTACAGCCCAATGTAACTTGTTTTCTGATCATGCTTTTACTTTTACTAAAACTGTTAAAGACTGTACAGTGAATGAAACAAAAAAATTAGGTGCACCCCTTTAAGTTGTGGAGATAGGCACTTACCTGGCTTTTGTTGACAGAGACTTTTGCAAACAGAGCTTGGGAGACTTTGGCACGTTTCATCTCGGCCTGAATCTCATCGTAGATGTTTTTGGAGATATTGATTTGAGGATCCAGCTTCAGGGGTAAGTCTGAGGCCGGAGCGCTCCACTTACTCTGTAGGAGAAACACAAATTCAAGACGTAAAGATCGCTCAAAACATTACAACTTTGAGCTCAGGGTTTTGCTGTGATTAACTTGCATGAACAATATGCATTAAGAAATACTGCATCATTTAATCACAGATTCCCAAGGAAATCAGCCTCTGTTTGTGAAGATAAGGAGGCCCTTTGTATTGATATACTGTATAAGAAAATTACTGTCTATATTACAATATAAGGACATGGCCCTCTGTAAAACTATATACAGAAATGACCCTCTGTTTCACCATGTAAGGACATGTCATACCTTTATGAAGGAAGTTAAATGAACTTTATGACCTTTGCACATTTTGCCATGTTTAAATTTTAAATGTCTTTACTGAATATTCACACGCAAGTAAAAGACAACCGTGACATGAAAACAAAATAATATTAGCCATCCGGTCATGCAAGCCACACTTTTCATTGTTTTTTAAAGAATAACAACATAATTTATCCATTTGCTGTCACGATACAATGGTGCTGTGATTACCACTTATGCTTCACAGCAAGAAGGTCCTGGGTTCAATTCCACCTCCAGACGGGGCTTTTCTGTGTGGAGTTTGCATGTTCTCCCTGTGTCTGCATAAGTTTACTCTGGTTACCCCTACCACTAAAAACAAGGAGTGTGTATATGTGAGTGATTGTGGGACTTTACAGCTGCTGTTGTGCATCAATAAACAAATACAAAATGCAAAAAGTGACTTTGTTGTTTATGGTTGTAACATGACAAAGTGTGCAGGAGTTCAAGTTGTATGAATATTTTTGTAAGGCACTGTACACATGCCACATGTACCATTGATTTCAATTCATTTTCAAATGCATCCACTTTAATTTTCCATCATACCTTAAGCAATAGTTAGTTCTTTAGACCGTCTGAGACACTCTTTTCTCTACAGTTCCCAGAGCTATGACATGCTTTCTTTGTAAAGCCCCTCACTGGAACAGCCTTCCTGCT